TCATTGAGTATTACTTAGAAATAATGGACACCCCTGTTTACTCAGAATTAACCATCGCTGTACTGGATTTGATGATAACCCATTCTACACAGCATAAGTAATGGTTTATGTTGTGCAGTTGATTTTACCTTACTATACTATCGTACAACTAGGATCAATATCCAGCTTTTCCTACCTGGCTAAGGGGTGAGACATAGCTGATAATCTGTCACAAAATTTCAAAAGATAGTGTAGTGAAAAAAAATCATCTTTAAATATTATTTATCAAGGTAATACTTCTTGATGTATTTAGATCCAGGACATGTCAGAAGCATTTTATTAAGTAGCTGCACAAAGGAGACAATTCAGATTGCTGTATCAAACGCCAGAAATTTTACTGAATTTTTAAAGTAGAGTTTCAAATAAAGGGCCAGACTTCAAGTTAAGAAAAAAAGATAGTGAATTCATTAATTGTTTATAGCCTAAGTTATTAACAGCAGCTAAATTTTAAAATTAAACAGTTCTTCCTGGTTATCACTTTATATAATCATCTAAAATAGGAGCCAGCAATCTATGGGCTGTGGACCAAATCTGTTCCATCACCACAAATAAAGTTTTATTGGAACACAGCCATGTCTGTTTGTTCACATACATCTATGTCTGCTATTGCTACAGTGACAGATTCGAGTAGTTGTGACAGAAACCATATGGACTGCATAGCCAAAAATGCTTACTAACTGGTCCTTTAAAAAGTTTACTGACTTCTGCTTTACAGAAAAGTTTGGTGACTCCTGACTAAAATAGTGGAGGTTAAATTTGTATTTTAAAAAGAGAAAAGACAAGTTCTGTACACACCGATGCAGGTCTTATCTTTTTGGGACTCTAGGGGTCATAAATTCAAGGGGGGAAACCTGAGAAAGACCAGAGTAATTTGCATGGGAACTTTTATTCTTAAACCAACAAATCCAATTAATGAGTTCTTAACCCACTGAATAGTTTAAAGATACAAGGGCAGAAAATATTTACAACTATTTGCACTTGGATAAACATGAGTCTGAGTGATTGCTTCCTGGTTTCCCTTTAACTAGTATTGATTCTTTTTTTAAAGTGAGACTCATATTGCCTGACATTAGATTATCCTTTTCAAAAAAGTGTTTTTACATTTTTCTGCTTTTCTCCCAATTTGATTATTTCTTCTCTTGGTCATTCAGAGGGATTCACTTTGCCTAGAGATAGACTGGGTTTGTTTTGTGTTTTTTTAATAAAAGGAATCCAAATGGAAAGAAAGTTAAAAGTTTGGCTTTTCATTTCAGAAATAGGCTCTTGAAGCTCCTAGAAACAATCATTTTGAAAGCAAAGCTTTAGTTTTGTGAAGTGAAAATTTTGCTAAGAGAAGAAAGGGTAGTAGAAAATCAACGGGGTTCGTCATGAAAGAAACAGGGTATGGAATATGTCACGATAGTAAATTGAAAAGGGGGGTGGGGTGATATTTAGTGTTCCCCACTGATTAAATATGGGTTACCTGACTGCCAGCCAGAGAGGATATTGATTGTGGCATCATGTTGAAGGAGGTAAGAAGGGCTTGAAATGAGGGGATGGGACCTAGAGTGACCACAGGGAGAGGGACAGAGTCATCTCTAAGATGCAGCTGCCCTGTGGCCACTCTGATAGCCACAGACCATCCACCCCCACAGTGTGGCCTGTGCTGAGAAGACTTTTAGTGTACCATTGCCTGGTGAGGCCCTACATGTCTGCTGGGGATCATCTTGTAGAAGTAATCCTTCTCATGCCCTATGACCTTTCTTAGTTTATCCAAACTCCCCTGTGTGACCAGCCTTCTTTACATGATCCAAGAAACTCATAAGCCTCCCAGACTTTGGGATCTGGAAGAGGTGTGTAGGCGAAGAAATCTACCGCCACTTCCTCACAACCTGCCATGTCTCTGTATGGACCACATGGGTGAAGGCTGACTGCAGTCTGACCTGAGGCTTGGCCAAGTACCCTATACCACCTCCTGGAGAAAGGAGTGATAAGCAGCCTGGTACAGAAATTCTAGAGGCAGTTCCTCTCCTATCTCTCCTTCTGGGAAGTTGGTCGCAAGGCTATTTCTCATCCATCCCCCTGGTTTCAGTTGAGCATGGGACTTTCCACCTCTCCCCCTTTAAGTCTCCACTGCAGATTTCTTTGTCTCTCTACTTAGCCGTATGTGAGAGCTAGCTCCTTCACAGTGGAATGACCTACTTACTTCTGCTGTCCTCTGGCCCCTTCGGTTCAGTGTCATCTTGTGGGACCAGGAACTGACACCATGCTGATCCTGCTTTTGCTCTCTGTGAAAGTAATAAACTGTTTGACTCCATTTGAGCTCGTTGTCTCCCTACTGGCTGAATCAGTGGAGTTATGACATGCAAACCTAGCAGCTGCAGTTGCGATCCTCATGGCCCTGTCACGAATCACACTGCCTTTTGGGGAATGCTTGATAAAGTTTTGTCCTATTTCAACAGCAGCCTGAAAGGATATTTTCCTTGTTTACTAACAGTCTCTGTTCTCAAAGAGATCCTTCTTTGATCACCTGAGCATGACATGAAACCTATAAAATTATATCTTCTTATTAATACCAAAGGGCAAAGAAGTAAAAACATAGTTAGGGTTGCTATATGTGCTCTCATCCAAAATTTCCTCTTCTGATTCCCAATTAAATTCACTTATCTTAACAGGGTGACTTTTCTCTATAAGAAAGAAGCTGTGAGAGATATATGGGGTGTGGACTTTGGAGCAGATTCCTTTCCCCCACTTAACAGCTGCATCATCTCAGGCAAGTTACTAAATGTCTCTGTAACTCATTTCCTTACCTGTAAAATGTAGTAGACTTTCAAGTAATTGTTGAGAATGAGGTAATATATGTAAAATGCTTAGACTGGAACTGGCACACAGTAAATGTGTAATAAACGTTAGCTACTATATTAATGAAAACAGTGGTTCTCAAACTTTAAGGTGCACAAGAATCACCTGTCCACTCCCAGTTTCTCATTGAGTAGGTCTTGGGTGGTGCTCCAGAATTTGCATTTCTGATGCTGCTGCTGATCTGACGACTGTTCCCAAGGCCTCAATCTCGTCAAAAGCTTTTGTTTACAAAGCGGCAGTAGGGCAAGAAAAAAATGTTCCGTGAGTTCCCGAAGGACCAGCTAATTATATAACGATCGATGCACCCAGGTGTTAAGATTGAGAAAGGAAGGGGAGTGGAGAGGAAAGAGATGATGATTCTTAGCACCTCATAAACATGTTGGGCTCTGAACAGCAACTACTGTGTACGCTCCACATGTAGGAGATGAGGTGATGGGGACTAGAGGAGGATATTAATTTACTCTCGATAATATCATTATTCCAGCCCATCTAACTTGAGAGTTCATGCACTTTGCACAGTATGTAAAAACATATGCCAAAATATGAGAAGACCCTTGCTTTGAAAATACTCTCTAGGGCCCAAGTCATAAAACCTGGCTGGTTCTAAGAAAATTGTGATATAGGACAAAGCTTATTTTTCGGCAGTGTTCTCATCGTTAAAGATTTCCTGCTCACTTATGGCTCAACATCCATTACTGATAAATATACACTAATGAATATAGCATAATGGTAAAGAACACAGATTCTAAAACCAGTCTGCCTTTGTTTTACCCTCAGCTTTGCCACTTGTGACCTTGTGCAAGCTGTATATCTCTTTGTGCCTGACTCAGTTCCTTCATCAATAAAATGGGGATGACAAAAATACCTACCCGATAGAATTTTGTGAGGATTAAATGAGTTAGTAATCAATGATATCATTAGAATAATTGGGAGAATGTGAATATGATCTGCATATTACAAAATACTATCCTAGCAGTGTTTAGTTTCTTTAGAATGAGAATGAGAATGGTATTGTGGCTATTTAGGAGAATTTCTTGTTTTTATACTAAATATTGAAGTATTTAGGAGTGAAGCATCCTGATGTCATGATGTCTGCAACCACTCTTTAATGCTGTGCATGTGTGTGGATATGTGAATGTGTGTGTATGTGTAAGAGTTTTCTACTCTATCCTACACCCTACCCCACCTAACACCAAATCAAAAAGGAGTAGGGTTGCCAGATACAAAATAGGATATTCCATTAAATTTGGATTTTAGAGAAATAATGAATGATTTATTTAGTATAAGTATGTCCCTAATAATTCACAGAGGCCAAATAGTGCATGGAGCATACTTACACTAAGAAGTTTTTCGTTGTTTATCTGAAATTTAAATTTAACTAGGTGTCCTATATTTTTGTTAAATCTGGCAACTCTAATAAAAGCCATTTATTCTCCTGATGTATATGGTTGACTGTGCCACAAGCATGTCAAAATCTTAGTTATGTTGATTTATCCATGACAGAATACTTACGAGTTCTTCTGAGATTTAAACCATAGTGGAATAAGCTTTTATCCTTCAGCTTTGTTGTCCCCCACTGGATTCATCTTTTTCAATTCTGAATCTTTCTCTTTTTAAAAATGATAACATATTTGAAAGATTGCATTTTTATTTGTGATAAAACCCGTAGATAGAATATACATAAAGGTCACATAAAAATACGTGAAGAGGATAATTAATATACGGTGTTGGATAGGTAGTGTGATTAAAGAACTACACATATTTTGTATATAGTGTCATTAAAGTTAACTCTTAGAAGCACTTCTTGCATGAAGAGTTTTAGCAGTACAAACATGTTAAGAATACTATTTCTAAAACTACAACCTCAAAACATGTAATTGCACTCAATCTCATGGATTGGTGTAAATGGCCCTGATTTACAATAACCTTTCAATAACCTACCAGGGAAAAGCAACAAGAAGCCCATTCCTTGCGAAGCAATTACAGAGAATTATTTTGGAACAGTAGCACCGTTCCACATTGTGATATGCACACTGTCACGTTTCACCTTCCTGAGTTGAACTTCGGAAGTGTGGCCGCGTGGAATGCCAGCGCAGAGGCGTTCGCCGCAGGCCGGCCCTTCACTGGCGGCGGTCGGAGTAATCTTGACCCTCGGAGCCGTCGTAGCTGTGCCCTTTGTAGTAGCTGTACTCATCCTCATAGGCTCGGTAATTATCCCCGCGAAGTGCCCCATTTTCATTGTCATAGACTTCATACCCACTGTCGTATTCATTAGTGCCTGTTTGTTCGTACTCTCCCTCATACCCGGTGGGGGTGGCTTCCCCAGACGGTCGGGTGGTAGTCCCGTAGAGCTCTGGTGGTGGAGTCGTGGGTTCAAACCCACCATCTGGAGAGGTTGTTGTCTTCGAGCCACCACTGTCCTGCTTTCCAGCCACTGTGGTTCCTTCTGCGTGGGCTTCAGTGACACTTTCTTCTTCACCTCCTTCTCCATTGTCTCCGTCACTGCTGCCATTGCCATTTTCTGCCTCTGTGCTGTTGCTGCTGGTGCCATTTATGCCTTGCCCGTTTTCATCCACTTCTGCTTCATTTTCTTCATCTTCCTCTTCTTCTTCATCACTCTCCTCCTCTTTTGTAGCCTTGTGTCCTCTATCCCCAGCCTGTAAGGAAAAGTTTGAAAGAATCCAGATCTAGGTGCGAAAATGTAAAAACCTAAGACCGTTCCTTCATTCAACACAGGCTGTACCTAAGGCCTTGTTCTAGATGTATTTTTGAATTGAAGCCAGCTTAATTTACAAAAGAATTGGTGGGTGTTTTAAAAATTCAGAATTAGTACCTTTGGTGGGTGTTTTAAGAATTCAGGATTAGTACCTTTGTCATTGGGTTTTGATGGAGAAAAATGTACTTGATAAATAAGGCTTCTCTGTGGGAGATGCTTCCTCTAGCTTTGCTATTCATTTTGTCTGTCTTAGAGTCCTCTTCCCTGAAATACAGTGGCATCTTTCAGGACCTTTTATCCATTGCTAAGATGCTTGTCCTTAGTCTTCTGCTGTAATGTAGGAAGTCAGTGTAATAGCATGGCCTGGGAAAAGATCTTTCCTTATTTGTAAACAGGGAAATTGAATCTGCTCTTGCTTTTTCAATGAGTTAATGAAGGTAATATAAAACACTCTGTTTGCTGTCAAGATAACCTGAGATTTCAGTGAAGAAATGAAATCAGATTTAACATTTTTGAGGAATGATTACCTTCTTGGGAAGTTGCATTGCAGCTAGACCTATATACCCTGTTCCAGGTGTGGTCTCCTCTCCATAGCCAGGTGTGGTGGAAAGGGTGGTGTTCTCAGCCTCAGATTCTTCATCTTCGTTTTCATCAGAATTTGCATTCTCCTCATTGTTTTCTTCTTCATTTGAATTCTCCTGGTGAAAATATCCAGAGCAAGGAAAGTTATTTTAGCTGGAAGAGAACTCAAAATCTGTTGGAGTAATGAGCCACAATTGAGAAAAACATTGTATTCCTCAGCCAGCTCATCACCTAATGCTAACAGTTTTGCTTCCTCTTACGCCATTTGCACTTCTCACTTCTTAAAACTCAACTCAGGGTTACCTCATTCAATTTATCTCACCATATTCTGTTTTTAGACATTTCCATATTCTATTTAATCAATAAAACATGCTTTTGTAATAATTTCAGCATATCTATGTGGTATTTTATCCTAGATGTCTTAGGCTCTTAAAGTCTTACGTACAATTACAACATGGTAGTAAGTGGATTCTTACATTTGCTGACAAATCAGCTGAGAACTTATACCTATTTTTTTAAATTTCTTATAGTAGCCTTGTAAGGTAGGATTATTATTCTCTTTAGAAAAGGAAGGTGAGCTCAGAAAAGCTAAATAACTTGCTTAAGTTGTTTTTTTTTTTTCAAGATTTTATTTATTTATTTGACAGAGAGAGACACAGTGAGAGAGGGAACACAAGCAGGGGGAGTGGGAAAGGAAGAAGCAGGCTTCCCGCTGAGCGGGGAGCCCGATGTGGGGCTCAATCCCAGGACCCTGGGATCATGACCTGGGCCAAAAGCAGACGCTTAGTGACTGAGCCACCTAGGCACCCCTTAAGGTCTTATATGTGATGAAGCTGTATTTTCTAATTTAAAAAGCTGAGCCATTTGTAATGCACTATGATGTTTTTGATGAGGAAGAGGATTTATATGAATGTTCACACTATGCCTAGGATATCTTTTCCAAAAGGAATTTTTATAGAAATGCCTCTCTTCAAACAAATTGATTGCATGTCTTATTTACTGGCAAAAAGAAATGAATATTTTTCATATGCTTTCAAGTGTATTTAGACAAAAAACATATTTAATTCAAAAGTCATCTGCCAACATATAAGCTAGTTCTGTATTGTATGCAGTATTCAGAAAACTTTAGGCATTTGACACAAAATCAGTTTTACCGTGCAATGAAGAAACTAAACACTCGAAGAAATTTTTAGTGGTATATAAAGTTATTGCATGAAGATGTTTTAAAAAAATTAACACTCCTCAAATGAATGGTTATTATAATTTTATTAATATTACTGTAATCTTTAACATTTTATTCTTGGCCTTTACTCTATGTTGTTAGGCAGTTGTGTGTTAATGGAGTTAGTCTGATGTGATTCATAGCTAATATTAAAAGTAAAAACTTCAAAACATGCATGAATAAAGAAGATGTAATACATTTACATATACATATATAATGGAATATTATTCAGCCACAAAAAAGAATGAAATCTTGCCATTTGCAATGATGTGGATGGAGCTAGAGAGTATTATGCTAAGTGAAATAAGTCAGAGAAAGACAAATACCATATGATTTCATTCATATGTGGAATTTAAGAAATAAACAAGCAAAGGGAAAAAAAGAAAGAGGCAAACTGAGAAACAAACTCTTAACTATAGAGAACGAACTGATGGTTACAAGAGGGGTGGTGGGTGGGAGGATGGGTTATGTAGATGATGGGGATTAAGGAGGGCGCTTGTGATGAGCACTGGGTGTTGTATGGAAGTGTTGAATCACTATATTGTGATTCACTGAAACAAATATTACCTTGTATATTAATTAATTGGAATTTAAATAAAAACTTAATCCACAGATTCCAAAACAAAATGTGAGAAGAAAAAAATAAGTTATGTAAAGAAAAAAAATTAAAAAATAAAACAAGCACAACCCAGATTTAGCCTGCCTAATTACTAAAACAAAGTGACCTAAAGAAGAATATGTTTATTTCATCAAATTTGTAAATTCCACTGTTTCAGTAAACTCTTGGGACTATTAGAATCCACCCCAAAACAGTCTCTAAGCTAATTGTGTCAAATAACCCACAAACACAATGCTGTTTATGTATTCTCATTTATGCTTTATTCCAACAGACTAAACCTTTCAGGGGAGAAGGAGGAAAGATTCTTAGAACATCCAATTTGGGTCCTGTACTGTCATATTACACATGAAAAACCTGAGGTCCAATAAGATAAATAACTTGCATCAGGTCAAATAGACGGTAGTTCATTAGTGGCCAAATCATGATTAAAAATCCAAACTCTCAACTCATGAACTGTATTTTCTCCTACAAAGCCCTTTCTTTATTAGGTACTCTATTTAAGGATATCCTGTTGCAGTGAATTAAAAAGGAAAACAGATCAGTCTGTTGATTGGTATTAAGCATCAGATATCTTTTTGAATAGAAAAATTAGCAATAATTTTAAAAAGTATTATTAACCCATTAGAATGGCTAAAATGACTGAAAGAAACAAGTGTTGGTGAGAATGTGGAGAAACTGATACACTGATAGGGGGAGATCACAGTATATCTGCTTTGGTTGCCTCTACTCAGATTGAACATATGCATACCTTTTGACTTAGAAGTTTTACTTCTAAGTAAAATGGCCTCCAGAAATAAGTGCATATGTTCACCAGAAGGAATACTAGAATGTTCACAATAGCACTCTTTGTTATAGCCCAAACTTGGAAACTACCCAAATGCCGATCAACAGAAGAGTAATGCATTGTGGTACATTCACATCATAAGATACTGACAATGAGAATGAATGATACACAGTTGTAGAACGATATGGATCAACCGTTGAAGTTGAGAGTGGAAGAGGCCACACACAAAAGAATATATGATGTGTGATTCCATTTATACAATACACAAAAATAGGCAAAACCAGTATCTGTTAGGACTTAAAATAGCAGTTGCCCTTGGTGGCTTTGGTTAATGAATGAAATGGAGCACAATGTATGTGCTGCTTTTTGATATGGTGCTGGTTACACTTGTGTGTTCAGTTTCTGAAGGTTCAGTGACCTCTATACTAATAATTTAAAAAGCTTGTTTTTTATTTATTATATAAATTAAATTATTTTAATTTATATATTTATATAATATATATTTAT